GTGAATCAGTAATAATGCGCAGAAATTTGTTTTGCACTTCTTGTAATTGATGCAGTTGAGTTTGAGTGACCGTGTTCAAAGCAGGAGCAGAATAACAAAGTATCGGTTGAAAGCAAGCGGTATAAATATGTTTTTTGGTACGCAAAGCTAAGATTTGAATATTTTCCAATGACCGGGAGAAAACTGCATATTGCTCTTGACACAATTAATGTGGTTAGATCATGTGAGCGTTTGGTTCAAAATAATTCCTAAATATTTGGCCTTTTGTGACCAGAGGAACAGCTTCCTGAAAAAGGTAGAGATCTTTAAAAGCAATGTTTTTCTTAGCTTTGCTGAGAATTAAAAGTAGTGGCTTGCTAGCATTGATTTTTACGCGCCAATTTGTGCACCAGTCTTCTACGGCATAGAGGTAATTTTGCATTTTGTCTATTGCATGATTAGCTTGGATGGATTTAATTGCAATTGCCGTATCGTCGGCATAACATGCTAACAGAGAGTAACTGTCCAAATTAGGGTGAGGGAAATCTGAAATGTAGAAAAGATATAGCACTGGACCGAGAATACATCCTTGTGGGACGTGTAAGTTTTCTAACACTTAAATCCTTTGTATCGTTACATTTCTAGTCTTTTTTTTAATGAAATAAGTGGAAAAAAAAGCGAGATTATGTGACTATTTAATATTACAATTCTGTGCTAGATTAAGTATGCATATGGCTTTATACATACCGTTTTTTCATAAACCTTCCATTCCCATTTTCTTTGTTCTTATTATGCAGAAACAAAAAGATTGAGAAAAGTTACGAAAATATTTTGAAACCGCTTAATATCTTGGACTCTGAACCCAGGCATTATTGCCCTAGAGACGTATCAGGCTCTGTTGCTTCTGCTTAACTACTTTTGGATTTTTTTGTACTGCACTGAGTATCATCCACATCTTAGACTAAGTTAATTTCTGGGACTGTTTTTATTTCCAGAAGTATCTCTTGTTACTAGCAGAAGTACTGAAGTACGTGAAATATGAGGAATGAGTTTTAAAACAAAATTTATAGATTTGTGTTTTCAGCTATATTTTAAAGTGCTTATTTGTGTTATAAACAATGGATTTTTTGGCTGCAGTATTCTTATTTGACTTGTTTTGACTGAACTTGACTAGTTTTTAGTCTGAACTAAAACACAAGCACATTTAAATGATATTTAGTTTTCTGGTGTATCATTTATTTAGTTCAGACTTAAATTTAAAACCATTTTAAGCAATTGTCAACGACGAAAGTTTGCAAAGTCTTGTCATAAACTTTCACTTTTGGAAACTACTTATTGCAAGGAACTTACTCAAAACTTAGTTAGGCTGGTTAACTAGTTAACTTTAGAAAAGATTATTTGAAGCCAGACATATTAATACTGTTTTCAAAGTCATTCATTTATTTACATGTACTTAATGAGCTTAATAACCAGTCAGTATTGGTAATATCTTTAGTTACTGAGTGCAAGAGTTTGCATTGTATGCTTAAGCCCCATACATTAATCTGCGTTGGCTAGACGTCTGATGGTTAAAAGAGTATGCTTCTTAACTACAAGACAGAATTTACGACATTATGTTCCCAAATAACAGAGGAAATTTTAAATTTAGAATAATCCGCATAAATATTCCAAATATGTTATAAAGTATTGCCTCCTTCCTTTCCGCAAGCCTTTGTAGCGTAATTAGAAACGTACTCGACGTTTATTCGAGAAATTGGAATTGTTCATTTTTCATGTTCATTTTTCATTTCGCATTGTTCATTTTTCATGTCTCATGCTTCAAAATAACCTAATGATTCTCTATTTGGCGCCCGAAATAGAAGGTTGTGGACGATAATTCGTCACCACCAGAATTTGGCGATTGGGTCCCCTAATCCCCAGTCGTCCTTTAAATCGGGGAATATATAGGGTAGTTTTCCACATGCCTTCTTGGTGTAATTGGAAGGATACTTGACGCGTATTTGAGAGGTCCAAGGTTCAAATCCCAGTGAGGGAATTGCACATTTTTCGCGTCTTTTTCTTCAACAAAACCTAATCACTCTGTAATATATGTATAATTGAAAATATTTTCTCAATAAAGTAAAAAAATAAATAAATTCGCACTTATTTCTAAGAATAAAATCTGAAAAATTATATCTATGTACATTATTCGGTCAGAATTTTCATACAGTATTTCGTTTTCAAACTACACTTGTACAGAGAAAGAGTTGAAATTTAGCATGAAATAGCCTATGTTATCAGTAAGTGGAGGAGATTGAAAACCAGCCTAAATTAGATAATTGCTCTCAACTGTATACTGTTACCATTTCGCGTAGGGCTATTTAAATTTAATGCGAAATTACAGATTATATTGCAAACTTCAGATTTTAGATTTGCGAATACACGAAAATACAATTATTTTGAAAATGCGGAAATTCTAAAACTAGAATTAGAAAGATTTTCTGCATTATTCACTCCTTCTCTAGCTGACTTTATGTAATGCATATATATTCATAATATGCAAAATATTCATAAATTTGATTTGTTAGTGCTCGAAAATTTTATTCTCCTTCTTCAGCGCATTATTATTTCGTTGTAATGTTTTTCTAGAATTTAGAAACGGGCAATTCTTTGAATCTGAACTAGATTTTTCATATCTTTAAAATATTACATTACTGTAGCACAGCCATACCCAGCTGCATATTTCAAATGAGAAAAAGTTCAACCTTGGTTTGTTATTAGTTTGATAAGCTACCTTGCTCATTAAAGGGAATATAGTGTGAGTTTTTCTTCTTCAAGGGGTAAAACTAGCCCACCAGCGGCCGAGCGGTAAAAGCCGTTGAATACTGGTAGTTCGGTCCGGACTTCGAGCTCTGGTGAACGGGCTGGCTGCATGGGCGTTATCGTGGTTTTCCCCATGTGTAACGTGGATAGGACCCAGTTTTTCTTAAAAAGACCTCCATGAGGCATCCCTTCCTTTCCGTGTAGTGCCTGAGGGCGAAGCACATATTAAGTAAAAAAAGAGGTAAAACTATGTTTCTAATGAAAAAGCATAAACTATCGCGTTGATATTTAGAATAGCTTGGTCCTCGACATTCCAGACTCTCAAATTCCATCGAAATGAAAAAAGAAATTTGCTAGTTTTAATTTAAAACTAAAGTTTAATTTTAATTTTACTTCTTTTTTCAACGAAATCTGATATTCTATAGTTTGTATATTAGAAATGTCTTCTGTGCTGTCTTGTGCGCACTTGAAAGCACGCTTTAATGCTTTACCTACATTACGTTCCAAATCCATTCTCATCCCCTAAAATACACCTATGTAGTATTTAAACTAATCCAGAAATTTTCAAATTTCTGTTTCCTCAATATAATCAATTGATTAAGTGTCTAATATATAAATCAGTTTCTAATATATAAATAAACTGTGCAGACAGGGAAATTTGATGCACAAGTAGACATAAAATTTAGCCTTTTTAAGAAACCTCAGTATAGTATTGACCAGCATCTGGTAGAAATACATACATTGAAATCAGAGACATAGCATCGAGAAGATGCTATGAAATATAACAGAAATATACTTTCACTCTTGTAATTGAGCTACTCCCAATCTATCCTGAAATAGAACTGAATCAGAAATCTGAAAAGTTCAATCGAAACATGATATTTGATATTTCGATCGAAACATGGTATTTTTATTCCATTATATAACCAATGCTATATGTAGCTAAGTACATTTTCGTGCTAATATCAAAGATCTCATTGCCTTAGTATTGTTATACACTGATGAGATGTAATTTTAATATTTCAAAATTTGGTGAGGCTTCATGGTTTACAGTTATGTTTATAAAACTAAATAATTCACGCGTATACGCCCTAAAACAGCTACGTTAGAATTCTCCCTTAGAAAATAGGAAATGATTGCAGAACACTTCACTTTTTTGCTGCTAAACAATATTCTCTTAACGGTCACACAACTGTTAAGAGACCATGTAATCAATGCAATTAAATTCTCCACGAATAGCGTCATGTACATTAAAGATTCTAAAGACGTTAATCGTTATTGGTTTGCCTCTTACATGGCAAAGTGTCTGTAGATGTCGTGATTCCCCTAAATTTGAATGCTCCCCATCAATCAAATTTTTATCTGTCCGTATATTTTTTCATTTGAGATATACCATCATCTATGAGAAATGTACCAGATCCAGAATCATTGATAAGCCTTATGCACTGTCCACTGATAGTCAAGCCCCCGCTGATAGTCAAGCTGGGTAAGGTTTGCACCAGTGCAAACCTTACCCAGCTTTCTTCATTTAATTTACGTTTCGACACATTTAAAATAGGCCATATAAACATTCCATAATAGATGAAAGAGGAAAGATTTGCTTTTATTACCTTCCAAAATAATACTTCATAAAAACAGAGCACTTCGAGTGAGGACATTGAATCTGAGGTGGTATTCACACCCAACAGTGTGTGTAATTAAAACTAATTAATTCTACCTGAGTAATGTGTAGATATCTGGAATTCTTAAATTTTTTCCGGTTCTGTATTTAATATCCATAAATTATTGCTTTCAGCTTTCGCTTTGCATTGTAATTCTAAATACATACATTTCAAATCATTTACGTTCTAGAACGTTCTTTGAGCTGAGAACGATGTACTCCTAGATTCCTTATTTGGCAGTATGATTAAAATGTTTCTATTTTCTCATATTCGAATTTAGAAGATTCCCATCAACTGCAAAATTATTAAGACGTCAATAATACTTTCTTCTTAAAATTAGATTAATTTTAATATCATATTAATAATTACATTAATTTTATGATGCGTGTAATTTTAATATCATGTTTGCATTATTTTTATTAAATATTTTCATGGATTCTGTACTTTCAAATCCTAAAGTCTTGATAATAAGACTTATAACTTACCTTATAAGTTAGTGAAACAATTTGTTTAAATTCAACACACATAGCAAAAAAAATATTATTGAGTCATACTTACATCTTCATATCTTTGCCTGTACCGCCGGTTTTCGTCTTGCAACATTTGCATGTTGTATTGTAAATCTGATTCATCTGAACTTCGGCGAGACTTTTTCAAAGGCTTGAGAGTAGCCCGCACTCTGCGATCTCCAGCGTGTGGGTTGGCCCAAAGTTCCAGCAACTGCAATGGTAGAGACAGCAAATCATTTACGTAATGGCACTGTTGCCGTTTATTGTTTTATTTCTGTCTATAAAATTTAAGGGATTTGCATGAATATCATATTTTTCCACTATGTTTATATTACACATAATGTTTTAACGACTGTCACCAATTTTCATGCTCTTGTTTATTTAGCGTTTCTCGTATCACCTAACTGCCTTTTTGTTGGTTAGAACTTAGCGATTAACTTGAATGTCTGAAGTTTGCAGAATTAGCAGCAAGTGAATTCTGAACTAAACTTCAAAAATTATGTTTAAGAGAAGCAACTGATAGTGTTAGAGGAATCCTGCAAAAGTTTCATGGCTTCAAAGATTGAAATTTATTATTAATTTATATTAGTAATTTTTCTCCAAGAACCCGTGGCGATAAAATCAAAGAAATTAAAACCTCTTCGAATGAATATGTAATCTATAGCACGCGAAAAAGTGCACGATTAAAGATTTCTATACAAAACGTAAAAATAATTTACTGGAGCTTCTTTTTGGCCAGAATTAATTTAATCACTGAATTTTGTGCGTGTAGCAATACACTGCATTGGTTCAAGGGTTCGAAAATGAACTCTTATCTGTTACTGTAAGATGACGTTATCCAGCGTCAGGCGTCTAGCATCGACCGTCGTTCCATCAAATTTGCTTGTCCTTCCAATACTCGCTTGCAGAAAATGCATCCCATATTTAGTGAATCGTCCTTGGGAATGTCTTTTACTACAATACAAATCCAAAGGTATTTGGTTCGATGGGGAAGGATGAAAATGGTTCGACTCACACTGACAGATGTCTCCCTCCAGATAAACTCAACGCAACATGGTCAGTCATATCAGTAGTAATAGTTAGCGTAACATAACTTCCTTGTAGTAATAGTTAGTGTAACATAACTTGCATAATGATACTTCTGTCTTAGTGCACTGTGGCTGAAAATTAGCTTCTTTCAAAGCTTTGGGTTAGAAAGATCTTCACAAAGGCATCCCTCGCCTTAGGCAGATAGCACTAGAGTGCTTTGCCATAATCAAATAAGCCAATCAACGCTTTGAAACTCAGCTTGAATATACAGTTCTGAACAGACTGAAACCAAGTTCGTGTACACTCTCTCAAACTCACTGAAGCTCATAATCATGCTTTCCAAAGCAAGTAGCTTAAAAAATGTTACCTTGAAAACAACATGGATTACCAACTGGTGTTTCAACTAAATGCGTTATAGTTACAGAATAGATGAACAACTGAGTACCGTAGTATTCATTGCAGAAAGATTACGTATGTTAGTCTTTATCTTTCTCAGAAAAATAAATCAACATTCTCAGCGACTATATGCTGAGCATATGTTTAGTCCAATCGCTGTTAATCGTGGAACCGAACGGCTTTCAATGTTGAAAGCAGAGAGAATGGATACTCTTGTTTTCAACTCTTTCGCAAGAGAAGTTTCCAAAACTCTTATATCCGAACATTGAACAATTGCTCAAACGCTCATGTTTAGTTCCTCCCTTTCCCGTCACATTAATGCTTAATGCATTAGTTATCCGCACTTGTTGAATGAGCTTTGTGTTCTTCTTCTGACACTGCTTGATAAAGACAACCTGAATAGACCTATCTTACCTAAGAAGGCTTTCCATCTATTTTATTTAGCATCAGCGTTTCTCATCTTGCTGTTATTCTGCATTGCAGCCTTCCTAATGCTGACATCCGCCTCTGCAGTAATGCAAACAAGATGACTTAATGGAAAACAATAAATAACTCCAGTTAAGCAGGAATATTTCTTATGTTTTTTTTTGAGAAAAAGAAAGTACAAGTTTTTGTCAGATTAATTGTATTGTGCTTGGATATTGTAGATGATTTTCTATTAAAACGGCCTAACAAAAAGACTATAAAGAATGTGCTTTTGAATAAATATTTGTGATACTTATATATGTAATACATGTTTGGTCTGTAACTTTAACAGTATAGTAAGATACTGATTACGCGTTGAAATAGAGAAAGATAATAATAATAATAATAATCTGTTACGGTCAATGCAAAAAAGATTTAATTTGTTCCATTAGTTGCTGTTTTTTTTTTTTTTTTTTTTTTTTTTTTTTTTTTTTTTAAGGTTTCATCCGTAGATTTCATATGATTACGCACATTCATTATTTAGGAATCTCTTGTCACCCAACAATAAACTAAGCTACTATTTATCACTCAAATTTTCCTGTAACAAATTGAGAATGGGAATGGATGAGAGTTACTTAATTTTTAGTATTAAAATATGATTCATTTATTTAACAACTAGCTGTAAAGCATGATTAAATATTGACTGCAAAGACTTTGCTGTTAAATATCAGGATCGTATTAGAACGTTTCCTAATGATTTAACATTTGCAAAGTAACGTTCTGACTGTATCTGATACATCGTAATACTAAAATGTTGGATCATTTAGGGAGTTCTGTCCATTGCTTTAATATTCAGTTGATATTTAAATCCAATTTTCCTTTTGCACGAACAATTCATGTACTAATAAAAAATTTGTATTGCATAGTATTTTGATCTGAGGTAAAAGCTGGTCACTTTAATCTGCCGAAAACGATTTTAAATCAATCACACAGATGTCTAAAATTGAACAATGTTGCATTTAGCAACGAGAAAGCAGCTAATCAAAATGCCCATTAGACTGCAATCAAGATGCACTGTCAACCAAGACAGTATAATTGTAGTTTGCATTGTTTTGTGTGAAAGGCAAATATTTAGAGTTTGTATAATATCTGGATTAATAACTGTTGTTATTAATGACATTTGGCAGGTGGCCAGAATCGAGCAATATATCAAAAAATAATCGTTAAATATTTCTAGAACTGAAATGTATTTAATTCTCTACATGCAGAATAAAAAAATTAAAGAAAAATTGAATAAATTTTCCTCACAGAATCTACCAGATCTAAAAAGGCCTAGCACTCTGTTCTTTATTGATGTACACTGCGAAGAAAAAGGACAGTTCTATACCTTCAATTCTACTGGGACGATTGACGAAATCCAACTTGCGTTTTTCATGTCTCGAAAGCGCGACTTAGTATGTGTATTAGAGTTATATATAGCATTGTTCTAATATCGGTATTTTGACACAAATCGGACGTTTTATGAAATACCATATATAATTTTTCCATATTTAGATTCCACGACTCCAATTACGTCAAACTACCAAGTTTTGTAAAAATTGCAGGAGTAGTTTTTAAAAAATTACCTCTCAAAATTTTAGCTCCTCAATGTTAATTGAGTTTGGGTATATATTGATTAATCTCTCTCTTTTTATTAAGCTTATTTGATTCTTCCTTTCACATTTCAAAATTCAGGTTCATTCCAAATACAATTCACCAATTTTTTGTGATTTATATTTAAAATTAGTATTTTAAAATAATTTTTCAAAAGAAAATTTTGATTAATTATAATTTATAAAATTTCTACCAGCATCTTAAAGTAGACGTATTTCTAAGCATACCTGCAAAAAAATTACAGTTTTTTATTCAAAATTTCCGAAGATATGCGTGAATTTATATATTGGCGCGTTTTGAAATTTGGCATAATTGTTGAAAGCGATAAAACATCAGATGTGGTTTAAACCCTTTGGTAAAATTATTTGGAAGCAGAAAGGATGCGACATTTTCCGCGCATACACAGTGTAAGGAAGTAGGAACGGGTTGCTTTTTTTCCGCCCTGGCATAATGGAAGAGAAAGGAAAACTGGTTGTCATATATTATTAAGAAGTTCTCCAAGTGAATTATTCCTGGTCAAACTAAAAAAAATTTGCCAACTTAAATAAATTTTTGAATTTCTCCGTAAATTTCGCACCAAATTTTACAAAGTTTAATATCTAAGCATAATTTGAGTCGTAGAATCGAAATACGGAAAAAAAATATGTTATTTCAGAAAAAGCCCGATTTTGTGTGAAAATACCTATGTTAGAACATATATATCCAATATATATCCTAAGTCGCACTTTCGAGACATAAAAAACGTCATTTGAACTTTGTCAATCGGCCCAGTACAACGAGAGTTACAGGACTGTCCTTTTTCCTCCTACAGTGTACCAGCATGAAAATTTACAATTCTTCAATTGAATTGTGACCACAAAAAATGGATCCTTTGCAACAAATCTTATTAATTTCATTAATGCTTGCAACTGGGTGAGTCACTTAAAATGCCGTGATGTAACATCTTCATCTCAGAAAAACTTACTTTCTGTACAGTGAGTTTCCATGTTATGAAAATTCTATCAGTAAACCTTGTACACTGTGATATGATGCAAGAGACACAGCTCAGATCATTCCAGTGCGGAGCTACTTGTTTTATGTCCCTTGTATCAGACCGCTTGGGTAAGCTAATCGCAGTTGGTTACATCTGATTCAAGACAATGCCTTAAAGATTCGCATTGAGAGTATATAAAACCTTGCTTAAGGAGCTTTGTCCCACGTACTTATTTCACTCAAATTCTCATTTAATGAATTAACTTTTTTCCCATTCGTTAGAGAATGCCGTCTGCGGCAGATAATACAAATACTCGCTAAGCTGTCGTCAGGGAGATAAAGAGGTTTCTTTGTCCTAAAGCTCAAGATTACTAATATCGTAGCATATTTATAATTCCGAAACTTGTCTAAGACGTTGTGGATTGTGATAGGAGCTATTTTTATGAAAGTAATGCTTTTTTACCCATAGGTTGGAAATCTCTAATGCAGATAACGTGGAACATTTTAGATCATACTACAGCAATTGAAAATTATAGTTAATTTTCTTGTGTCAAAAGAAACATCGTTAACTTAAATTTTAATTATTCTCAGTTTTTAAAATTAAACATACATATTTAAGTAATTCTTTGGTTTTCAAAATGCTAACCAATTGTTTGTGCTAAATCAGTTTTGTCTTCTGATTTTGCCTGCACAAGCCTTTAATCAGGCAGATAGTAGAAAAACATGAGTAAGCTTAAAAGATTTGAAACCACATAT